AATAAATAGGTGGATTTTTCCACTCACCTATCACAATTGGCTGGCCGTCCTTCAGCCAATCAACTTTAAGCGAGCCGTCGTAAGGTGTGATCTCACCCATAATACGCACCGGCTGTCCCTCGCCAACGTTGGGCTGGCCACAGTGGATGTCCTGTGAGAAGCTGGGTGGCGCCACGCTGTGCGCCTCCTGTTCCATCTCACGTTCACGTCTGGACATCTCGTCGTAAGCTTCGTTCTGCATGGACACTGTCGTGTACTGTTCCGCCTCCTCCGGAATGACCCTACATGCATATATTCATATGAATTAGTAAAATGAAGATGCTGTTAGGATAACTACGACTACTAGTAAATCTGCAGGAAATACTACCCCCTGTGGTTTCTACTATTACCATGGCTGACAATATCGATAGTATCCCTTATAAATACCAAAGGAGACCGGGATGGTCATTTCGGGTTAATAAGCCATCATCAACTAGTCATATCCTACCCAAGTGGGCCTCTCTCGGTGAACATTCATCAATGAGTGTTGGCAAGACAACCAGCTCGTCGCTCAATAGTTAGAGCATTGGACTTCTGATCAACAGATCACGGGTTAAAGCTTCCGGTCATGAACAAACCTGGATTGGTATGAATGAATGGTGTCAGCTAGTAAGCCAGATGTGGCCATTTCAGTCTACCTTGTCTATGTCGGCAAGGCTCATCTACCTATATTCCTAACACCTGTATTTATTAGGGGGTTTGGCAGATTTTCTTAATTCTAGTTGACCCAATTGTGAAAAAACTCGCGGCATTTGACGTGATTTAAACCCGCATAGTAGGAAGGACCTTAACCGGAAGCCAATGCTCTACCATTAAGCTACAAATGCCACGCTTCACGCCGTGAGTTTAATCACACTTGGATTGATTTTACGGGCCCAACTTCGCCGCTCGTATGGAATCCACCAACACGGGACAGAAAGTTTACTGCCCAAACATGGTTTCTGGCGGGCCTCGAGAATGAGCCTCAAGGCAACGCAGAACGATTGAGTTCCGTTAGCGATCGGCACTTGTACTTTGTCGCTGTTTGTGCAATCTGATCTGTTATTTCTGCGGCTTAGAGCAACGATCGTTAGTAATTCTACCAAAACCGCTCATAGTAGTACTTTACCTTTGTCACTGCATTTATTAAAACCGTTTTTCCTCACGTCTTTGCCCACAAATAATTGTAATCCGGTAGCACTATTACGGCTAGTATGGCTTGGATGCCGAGTGATACTACTGTTATTTGGTCATGGGACCCACTCGTCCCGTTGTATCTCGGAGCTCCCTCTCTAGTCCCGCTAGCAGCTGCACAGCGGCCAATTTTGGAGGCAGATGAGGAAGGGCCAGAGACAGTGGAATGGTCGTTTCTGGCTTAGTAGCGGTCATCAGCCAGCCATACCCAACCCTAAAGTGGTGCATAATCAGAGACTCGACCCCGCGACTTGTTGATCAGAAATTCA